TAGATATTTGAACTTAATTTCAATCTTTCATGAGTTTCCGATCCTTAGCTATGATTAATTAATCGATGAGCATGTTATATCGTTTATGATCGATTTTATCACGATTTTCTGTTAAGCTTGGAAAGTAATTATCGATCCTTATTACTCAAAGTAGACTCCAATAGTGTTATAAAATCCTCGGAGAATTCTAGTAACTTATCATTAATCATTTCTAAGATTCAAGAGCTCAATCTTAATCAAACACATGGACAATTTTGGTGTTACGACCGGGATATATATATACACACACACATATATATATATATAAGGCAAGAGAAAAAAAAACTATTCTTAGCAGACGCGTTTCGTCCTCTAATGGATTTTCATGACTCTCAGTTTAACACCCCAGTCAATGTTCAGACCATGTGAAACTAACATTGTAGTGCTGATTCATGTTGTTACACTGTCTTTATCTACAAGCGCTTAAATACACCATCGAGAAAATTCGATATTGAAGAAGAAAGTGCTTAAAATATCCCTGATATGTTAGCTGAACCTTTTTTTTATGAGCGGTAAATTTTTGTTAATGAAAGTATCAATTTCGCAGCCTTCATATTACGCTCAGGTTCTTTAAAAATCAAACATAACTTACAAAAGCACTGATGTCAGCCTATTTACAATAATTCGATTCTTAAAAAAAATGCTTTCAACATTCTGCTCTTTAAGTTAATTCTTTTCTTATAAAATCCAATAATTGTCGTGAAACATTTCGGTGATATTTTCAATACTGTTCTCGCAAAGTCAATCAGATGTTATAAATATCCATGAAGAAATCGGAGTATTCATTCACAGCCGCCGCCATTGTTAGATAGCACGATTGATCGAAGCGCATGCGCGTCTCGGACAAAAAGAATCGACGGAAGATTGCAATCAAGCAGAGCGGTGATCATCTCTCATCATTTGGCAAGATTGGTCGGACATTGTCTCCTTCGCCCACACTGTCTTGATTATAGCAGATCGAAAGAGGAAGAGAACATTGATAACAGCCATGGCAAGGGTGACGACGACCAGAACCGATTGTAGCTAACTAAAAGAAGAATATTGGGAAAGTATAAAATTAAAAAAAAATAAAAAGAATTTAACGCTTTAAGAGACTGAACTGTGCTGTAGTCACATGATTCGTCCAATTGGCTAATCAAAACTTTGCTTATGTTAGCCTGCTTCTTGGGTGTACGCAATAAATTTACGTTTATTATTAGACGAAACATTAGTAGAAAAATGTCGTAATTTCGAATTCTGTTTTTATAATGGCGCTTTTTGTTCCATCGCTTCTCAGACTTTTGGCCTTGAGGTGCTAATTTAACTATTTAAGCCCATCCCCACAGCATCAGTCTCCCCATGTAATACATGTCCCATGAGAGGGAGCTAGGGTCATTAACTGGCACCAGTGAAATTCATTTTTATTTTTGCAATAAGGTTTACCCTGTAAAACGCCTTGAACGACTCAAAGGAGACGATTACGTTAGAAGTTAGTTTATACTGAAAGGAGGTGAATGGTAACAGTTAACTCTAGACTTGAACAGATTAATATTGTAGTGATCGAGGAAACATCTTCTTGGGAGTCTGTTTCAAACAGCAGTGGTCCGTGGGAAGAAGCTGCTCAATTGGAACTTACTCCTCACCAGTGAAATACGAAGGGACTGTGGGAGTGACATGGCGGGCCCTAGCCGTAAAGGTTACACATGGCGGAAGCAAGGAATGTAGTTCGTCCGAGCACTTTCCATTGAAGTTAGCGATAGAGAAGTGAGAAGCTTGCCACATCACGCCTGTGAAAGTAAGATTGGAGGGCGGAAAATCATTCGTCACCCACAAGAACTCGGTGACGCTCCCTCCCAAATATGACATTTCCCGCCTGATCTGGATCTTGTAAAGGTAGCGGATAGCATAAGGAGTCAGATACTAACTGGAGGGGTACAGGGATCAACCATTGTACCTACATCTTTAGCGATGGATCGTATGTAGGAGATCCTTCATAAATGGTAAATGCCGAGAGGACAGGGCAATTTTTGGACGCGACCCCCACGTTAAACAGACCTTGGACTGTATTCAGAATGAACTTTTTGTTAAATATCCTATTAGTAAATTGTCGCATCGCTTCTCGACCATCTGGATTCGAGACCAAGATTAACTGTTTAAGTTCAATATAAGTCAAGACAACGCCCCCTTTTCGGGAGCGCGCTATGATTAATTCCTTGTGTGTGATGCCTCCCCAAAACAGGGCTGGACAATTTTTGACCACTGGTCTCAGGTTATATTTGAATTGACTTTTGGATAATCCCTTAACAGAAAATTGTCACCGTTTTTGTGGGGAGGATAAATGATGCCTAACCTGACCTCTCTTCAAAAATGAAGCTTCTTTGTATAGTCCGCACCCCAATATTTCTCAAATATCAAGGGTATTCTTAGGTGCATATAAAAAAAAAGGAAAATTTACTTTTTTAAAGACATATTCCGACCCATCCGAGATTATTAAGAACACCTCTTTTTGACCCGTTAAATGATTTTTCGACTTCCCTCTTTATTAAAAACTCCCGTTTGTTGCACATTGAGAAAAAATTTCACCTGTTTAAGAGCCTCCCTTGCATTTAGGCAATTAAGACAGAATACAATTAGATGCATTTTTTTAATAAAAGAAATAAATAGTTACGTGTCTCCCAGGGCTATATGCTTCGACGTAATTTGTTCTTAATTTACATCAACGACCTTCCTGATGACATCAGTTCTCAACTTGGTATCTATGCTGAAGACAAAACCATTTACTCCAGTCTTGATAGTAAGTTATATCAGTTCGAGTCAAATTGGCTGCTGATCTCAGAAATGACCTACAGTCTGTTGTTAAATGGGACAAGTAATGGCTTGTTAATTTTAACGCTTCCAAAACGAAACTTCTCTCTATTACTCATCTGAGAGAACCTTTTTTTTTTAACTTCCATCAGCATGACTGATGTTAACCTCAAGGAGAGTGAGGCTTTGCGCCTTTTCCTAGTAACAATTTTGGCTGATATGAAGTGGAAAGACTATATTGATCCCATTGCTAGGTCTGCTGATAAGGAAGTTGGTTCACTGTGTTCACGTTTTCTCTCCATAGAAAATATATCTTACATATCTATAAGTCTACCATTCGTCCATGCTTAGAATATTGCTGCCACATATGATCCAGTGGTCCTGCTATATATTTAGAGATTCTTGATAAAATCCAAAGAATAATCTGCAACATTATTGGTCTTGATCTGGCGTCTTGATTTCAGTCACTTTCTCAACGTCGTTTTCCTTTTGCCGTAAGTTCGATGTTAACACTTTTTTTTTTTTTTGCACTTCTTTCTTGTGGAACTGTTTTCCAGCTCAGTGCTTTTTCAGCAAACAATTATCTTCAAAAATTTTAATGCAATGTCAATCGTTATCTATTGTCTTCTTGATTACTCTGCTATTGTTCTTGCTACTTAATAATGTCTCCCTTTTTTATTCTTTCACACTCAGTAATTTATTGGGTGTTAGTGGCTTTACTGCTTTCCATGGGGTGATTATGATTAAAAGAAAATATTGGAAAAAATTTAAACTAAAAAGATCGTAGAACTTCGATCTGAAAGTTAGAGTAAATTTGCAAGTTTTATTTTGATGTAATGAATATGCATACACCTGGGTCCCCCCTCACAGTAATATGATTGGCTGGTGTCAGCCATAAATACAGACTGAGGTGGAGGTACGGGACGACGCGCCTATTGTCTTTGCCTATTGCCTACCACTACGACGAGGACCAGTCCATTACGGTTACCTGCTAGATTCTCCTACCCGGTTACAGTAGTCAACAACCACTTTGCTACTTCGAACAAATATATCCCTTTCCGGGACATATAATATTTTGAAAAAAAAAAATCAACATGCCCTAAAATTGAAAGCTATAGAAAAGAAAAAAGAAAGAAAAAAACTCCTTGCTGGTGAATCTTAATTTCATTATATGAGAGTCACAGAGAAGACGCGATTGATTTAGTATATACAACAAACAACTTAACATAAATGGGTCACCGTTCACACCGGCGTATGCCCGTCTGCGAGACAATCTCTCTAGAAGACGCCTGCTCAGACAAATTCGTGCTTCTTCAAAACACGCAAAGCCCAACTTATAACGTTATTAATAAAATATTGATATAAACTTGTTTGGAGGGATATCAAGTTTTATTATGAAAACAAAGTGTCACGTTTTTTATTGATAAATAAATAAAAAAACGATATAGGTCACAGAAACGTATTTAATTAACATGCGTATAAATCAACGACCATTTCTAATAATTACAGGTGTTATCAACTGAACATTGAAGGGTATATGTTTTAAAATATATTGAGAAATAACGATTAATACCAATTGTACTGTGAAAAAAAAATGGTGGAGTAATAGATAGCGGCTCGGGTTCGAATTCCAGTCGAATCCATTACATTCACTTACGTGCTAATAACCTTGGAAAAGGTATGAATCCTCCTCTTCGCCCCCCAGCTATGGGTAAATAGCAGTACAGACTGGGTTCTATAGCCTTGGGTGGCAGCCAGTCTAGGAGAATGAAAAACTGAATTCAAAACCGGACTGGACAATGTTGGGCTTCGACAGGCTATTTTACCCAAGAACCACCACTTCTACTGTGACTAGTACATATGCTGCCCCTACGCCCTACAGGTTGCGGGATAAACAAAACAAAATCCATGAAAAAATTAACTTGATTGATTGATTCGTTTTTTTTACGGCTTATCAGACTTTTAGGTTATTTAAAGCCAGAAAAGATAATTTTGTGGAGGGGTAGATGAGAATAGTTTGTAATACAGGTCTTACTAGAAGCAGAAGAGGTGAACTCATACAGTTCCAAAGGGTATTTGCGCGTAAACGAATATAAAGATCCCAACGGGAATCGGAACTCAGCTCTCCAATTAACAATTCCCAGCTGTTTTCCATCACACCACCCACACATCCAATC